ATCCAGAATCTTCTGAGGTGGGAAATTTCCACTTGAAAGGACAAGCAAACCAGCCTGGAGTGGCTAGAAGAACAGAAGATACTTCTTGAAAGAAAGACTGACAGGAAAAATACTAAACAATATAGACAGTCCAACTCATTACTACAAGAACAAGCAAATTGCTTGCCCGGGAGACATCAAGGCAAGTGGTCAGGTCCCCTCAGGGCAAACCCACTTCCAAGATTAAGACTCCATGAGAATACATGCTCTGATTGGTGACCGCATTCATCACGGATAAGGAGAAGCGAGGGAAAAACAGCAATGAAGCTGTGAGCTAAGCCCTACAACATTCAATAGACTCCTGTGAACCCAGGTGGAGACCTGGTTGGCCAGCAGTGTGGCAAGACTTGGGGACTCTTGGGCCCAGAGTCAGTGACATAACCACAGAGGACTAGAGTGGAGTGAAGCATACAGCTGATAAGATGAGAGGGCATATGCATAAGAACACCCACAATTGCAGATAATACCCACTTGACCTGTGTTCAATGACTGGATGATCAGAGCTCAACTAGAAGAAGAAAGAAGAGGAAAAAAAGAGTAATCTGATACAATTTGGTGAACTTTACCTACACCTATGGATGCAGTAGCTCAAAAGAGGGAACAAATCTTTACAGTGAGGATCATTCCCACCCCCTCCATACACAGCGTAGACAGGGATGGCCAACTTGAACATTGGCTAACCAAAATGGGGAGGGGGGAGGGCTACAAAAGCAAGAAGTGACTGGCTTACAAGCTTTCAAGAGGGAGCCTTTCACAGAGGAAGGTAGAATCTCCACTGAGTAGTATCCAATTTGTCTGGGCGGGGCTGATGAAAGGAGATGCAGATAGGTCTCTTGTGATACAGTAGTGAATAACTGTTATCAGGACTGATTGTGAGGGTTGGAAATGCAAAGGTAGACATTTTGTAGCAAAAGGAGGGGAGTAATTGACTTTGCAGTCTAGGAGCAGAGGTCCCTGGGACCATCAGTGGAGAGGAGCAGAGAGCGGGACCCTACCCAGAGAAGCAGTGATGCCAGAAATGGAGGCAGAGAATATAATGTTGAGAGATGGAGTGGCTGGGGACTTTAGACTTCACAGAGAGGGAGAGGGCTGTGTGCTGATGACCAGGGTAGGGGATGTTGGTTGATGATGCATGGAGGGGATTGTAACCATGGCAATGAAAGGGTATACAATAGGATGAATGTAAGGCTAATGTTCTCCCATGTAAACTATCATATAATTCACAGTAAAACATTAAAAAACCAAGACAAAACATCAAGACATGCCCAGCGGCGTAATCAAGGCTATAATAGGCATTTTTTTTGAACCCAGAGGAGGTGTCCTTCCTTGCCTAGAAATCAGGGAAGGCTTCCTGGATGAGGGGCATGCCTGGGCTGCCATGGTGAAGGTGGTGGGTGGGATATAGGCAGGCACTCCATAGAGATGCTGACTAAATGCTCAGAGGTATGAGAGTCTGGAAAGTGATTATCAAATAATGCAAGGAGTTGAAATCTCTGGGTCTTAAGGTGGTTAGTAGGTAGGTGGGGCAGAGACTGGAGAAATTAGAGCAAGATGGCCTTGTAGGCCATAGTGGAAGAGAACATGCTGGAACCCATGCTAGCTCTGACCTCAGTTTGCTAGGCAACCCCTGTCCCAAAACCTTGGTGTCCCCATCTGTGAAATGCAGGATTGGAGGGGATGGTTCTGACATTGCACCAAATACTCCAGGATGTTGTCTACAGTGATAATGGAACCCAGGCCCTGAGAAGGAACCCCCAGGCCCAGACTGCATCTTCAGTTGCCACAGTCTCTTATGTGCTCTCACGTTCTCTCAAGTTTCTTCAGAACTTACCAAGGTTGGGGAGAAAGAGCTGGAGAAGGAGACAGCAGCATTCACTTGCCTTCACTGATTGATCAAGACACACACACTTGGGGGGGGGGTTTCGGGGGGGGGGAGGGGGCTGTAGGATAAGCACTTGACTACAAGGTCAGTGGTTCAAACTCACCAGCAGCTCCTTGGAAACCCTATACAGGATCGCTCTGGGTTGGAATTGACTCGACGGCACTTAATAGAAACAATATTGTCCAGCAAAAGAGAGTCAAAGGTAAACTCCTCTGAGCCCTCAGACTTCTTCACTCCTGCTATGATTGTGCCCTGTTTGGCGATTAGGAGAGCTGGCATTGAATTCAGACTGCTAGCCTGCTGTATGGCATTAGGCAAGCCACTCAGCCTTTTATAAAGTAGGAGCTAATACTGTCAGTTTGTTGTACTGTGGTGGCTTGTGTGCTACGGTGATGCTAGAAGCTATGCCGCTAGTGTTTAAAATACCAACTGGGTCATTTAGGGTGAATAGGTTTCAACGGAGCTTCCAGACTATGACAGACTAGGAAGAAGGAGAGGTAAACCACTGCTGAAAGGTTAGCCAATGAAAACCTTGTGAATAGCAACAGTTGTTTGAAGATTACATTATGTGAAGGGCATTTAGCACAACACCAAGCACATGGACCCAAATGATAGCTGTCACTGTAATAATTATTGCTATTGCTTTTAGTAGGACAAAAGGAGGCAGGAGTTAGGAAGGAGGAGGGATTTGGTTCTGAAGGAGTTAAAACCGAACCTGCTTCTTCTAGTCCTGGAGATAAGGCTGGAGGAAACGCGGCCCAGGTTCCCACTCCATCACAAGTGAATTTATGAGGAGCTGGTAAATCAGTCACTTTGATTTAAAGATTATGGGCTCTTCCCAGACTGCTGTCCAGAAGGGACTAAAGGTTCTCTTGAAAAACAGAGAGGGACCACAGGGAAGATTGAGCCTGGTGTACACTCTGTATAGGAGAGAGATGAGGGAGACGTGAGAAGCTGAGGTCCAGAGAGGTAGAGACAATGAGCTTGCGAGAGAGCAAGGCCGTTGACAATAAAGGCATGAAGACAGACGGGGTGGAGGAAACAGATAGTAGAGTAGGGAAGACAGGAAAAGAGAGGGAGCGATGACTACCAGTGGTACAGGACCAGGTGCAGGCCAAAGAAGGGACAAGGAAAGAGAGAGAAACAGAGGAGGAGAGGAACGGGGGCCTCCGTGTATCTGCGCATCTGTACCTGTGTGTGTGTGTGTGTGTGTGTGTGTGTGCACCTGCGTCTCTGTGACTGGCAGAGGTATCTGAGCAAGACAGTGCAGAGCGGACGGACAATGGGACAACCGGAACGCGACGCCGGTCCAGAGCGAGTTAACGCGCCGCCCCCGGCGCCGGCTCCTCCCAGCCAGGGCAGTGCCGGGGCTCCGCCGACGCCCTCACTAGACCCAGCGGTGGGCCCCTGGGCGGACGGCGGGTCCCGGGCGGCTGCACAGACTACGCGCCCCGCGGATGCCTCTGGTGCACCCAGAGCAGCCCCTGAGCAGCGCCGCCACCGGGCCGTCGAGCCGCCCGGGGAGCCCTCGCGGGTGCTGCCTGGGTGCACCCGCCGGGACCAGACTGCCCAGATGTGGGCGCCACTCTGCCTGCTGCTGCTCGTTGCCCATGCCGTGGACATGCTCGCCCTGAACCGAAGGAAGAAGCAAGGTAGGCAGGACGACCAGGGCAGGGTGGCCAGGGCAGGCAGAGTTGCAGGCCGGGCATGGGCTTTCCATCAGGCCAGAGTCCAGCGCCATAGTCCATTATCGACATTTCTCCCACTTCACAGATAGGGAGACTGAGGTCACAGGGCACCCAGTGAGAGATCCGCTAAATGAACTGAGTCCAGGAGGAAAAGACTGGCAGGGCACACTCACTGCCCACTCCACTGTACTAGCAACATTACCAGAAAGAAGGGATGGCTCCTCATGTGCCAGCCTGGAAGTCACAGAGACTAAGGGAGAGAGTTAGTGGTTCAGCATCATTCCCAGCATCCATGCGGAGGCAGGAGGTGACATAAAGAATCCTGGGCTGGGGGTCCAGATACCCAAGTCCATCCCCATCGCTGACCCTGGTTCATTGTAGCAGTTTTGAGAAAGCAGTGGTTCCCAGTGGGCCACTTCTCTGGTGATGGAATGAGACCTGAGTCTACTTCTGCTGGAGGAGGGGTGATCTGGAAGAGGTTCAGACCCCTAAGAGCCTCATCTTGACTCCTAGATCCACTGGGAAGATGAATCAAGACTCAGCTGATAGAAAAGCCTGAACCTTCTCACTTCAGGGTACTACGCCAAGGTCCTCACTGTGAGAAGCAATCCGAGCTTGGGAGTTAGACTTGAGGCTGTCCCTGTAGGCAGGTGTTGTCTGTGGAAGGCAAGTCTGCTTGAGCTGAACAACCCCTTTGCCTCCAGTGTCCAGTCTGAGAACCAACAGTCAAAACTGCCAAGGGCCTTTCAGCACAATCTCACTGAACCCCCTCCTCTATATCCTCATGACATAGGGGTCAATCATTTTATAAAGTGAGATGAAGGCTCAGAGAGGTTACATACCTGCTAAGGTAACACAGCAGGTGAGTGGAGGACCTTCTCGCTCTAGCTCTGGTGCTGAGACCTGAGTGAGACCACATGGGTGTGAGACAAGGGGAGAATGGCTTTACACAAACAAAAAATCAAAGCAGGAAGCAAGAAAAGGCTTGTGGGAGACTCACAAGGTAGGATTGGATGGAGGGTCTGTGACCCAAGGGGTCTGACCTCTGTTATGTCTGACATAAGAGCCAAGGGAATAGAGAGGTGGGTGGGTTTCAGGTTGAGTTGGGAAGAATTTGGGACTCCATGGAGCCACTTCTCTGTGAACGGTTTAGAGCATGGGCTCTGGAACCTGCCAGCCTGAGTTTGAATCTTGGTTTCCCTGGTTACCTGTAGAGTGGTCATGGGGAGAGGGGGACTCACTGTGCCTTTCCAAGGGTCATGTTCACCCTTTAGAAGATACTTAAAATCCTTCTCAGCCCTAAAACAGAAAAATGTCTCATCTTCAAATTTAAATTTGTGGTTTGTTGTTAAATGCCATTAAGTCGATTCTGACTCATAGCAATCCTGTTTAGGATTTCTGAGGAGAGGCTGGTAGATTTGAACCGCTAACCTTGCAGTTCACAGCCCAGTGCTGATCCTATAGTGATAAATATGTACGTGTGTATTAAATGCTTAGCTGAGCAGCTCTAGGAAGTAGTAGTTGCTCTATTTCCTTGGCCATTTTGTCTATGAGGACTCACATCAGCCTAGTTGGGGAGAAGCTACTTGTGCCCCCATTTTTTGGAGGAGGAAACCAAGGTTTAACATAGGGAACCAAATTATCTGAGGTTGCACAGCAAAGCTGTCCTTGAGCCCCTATCTGCCTGGTATGACACTGAGAAGATGTCTCCTAAGTTGCGTTGCTCTTTCCTGCTCAGACCCTCATTTTCCACATCTGCGAAGGAGCTGGTATAGAGATTTTAAAGATTCTTTTCAGTTATAAAAGAAAAGGAAGAAGAAGATTGATTGAGTGTCGCAGGCTAGGTGCAGGAGAAAGAAGAAACAGGGAAAGTGGGAGAGAGAAAACCAGAAGGAGGGGACTGAGCAGCGAAGAGGGGTGGGGGTCTTGTGTGTATGTACTTTTGTAATTGTGTTATTTAAAAAAAGGAGAAGGAAAATTCAAATTCCTGCCACCCCCCACCCCCAACATCCCGCCACCTCCCTAGAAACTGATTGAGAAGGTTGAGGAATGACTCTTGGGTCCCCTTCCACAGTGTCTGATCTCCAACCTTAGGGAACACACATCTGCCCATCATATTTAGAGAGAGGGCTGTGATTCCATTTATCAGTGGGATGGAAGAGAACCTGGAACTAAAGGATTGGGGCTTAGGGTTTGAATCCCACCTTTAATTCCATGGTGCTGTCTATGATCTTTGGCAAGTAAGTGCCACGCTTCCACCACCTTGGCCTCTGTTTTCCTATTATTCTGTTTCCTTATTCTCTATTTAAGAATAATCCTTCTTATATAGCATTTTATCAGGAGGGACCAGTCCCTGAAAAGGACATCATGCTGGTAAAGGGAAAAAGAGAACCCTCAACGAGATGGATTGGTACAATAGCAGCAGCAATGGACTGAAGCAACAGTTAATTGTGAGGTTAGCACAGGACTGGGCAGTATTTTGTTCTGTTGTACATATGGTTGCTATGAGTTGGAACCAACTCCACAGCACCTAACGACAGCATAACATATTCTGCAAGATGTTTACAGGTGTTACGGCCAAACAGCTCAAGTAGATATGTTAGCTTAACTCTGGCACTCATCAGAGTATGCGTGGTAAAGAGGTAAGACAAAGAGAGTAACTTTTCCCAAACTTATTACACACCAGAGACCATTTCTCATGAGGCATCTGCTTGGAAAATTCTGCATGAGGTCCTCAAAGGTCTGACCAGCTTTCTGTTCTAGCTCTGGCAGGTGAAGTGTTCTGGAGGCACCTGGGTGTTGGTAGTGCTTCATCCACTCACTTGTTCATTTGGCAAGGGCAGCCTCTGCGGGCTCTTGTGTTGGGAACCTCGGGGACCCTGAGGAGCTGCCAGCCTAGAGGGGTGATCCCACCCTGGCCCTTCATAGCCTGACCCCTCCCTGCCCCTCTTTCGTCTCAGTGTCACCTGATCTGAGAGGTCAGGAGGACTGACTTTCTGCCCCCATCTGACTATAGCCATCACCCTTGGGATCTTGCTTCTGAAAACCATGCTTACTCAAGCTCCAGCCTCAGCTTTTTGATGAAACCTAATTTTTCTGTTTAAGACAAAAAAGAACGAAGAAAAGGCTTGGATCTAAAGTGTCTCTTGCAAAACAACATGTTGATTAATTAAGTGTAAATGAATTTGAACCAGATGGGGACGTTTCTCTTAAAACATGCTTGGGTGTCCTGTGGGGAGGGAAAGTCAGGCAGGATGATCCTCACCCTGGAATTTGGATGGAAAACTAGACCACGATGGACTTTCCTAGACATCCAGGCTCAATGGAGGCAAGATTCTCACATTCACATGACACCTTTTAGATTCTTCTCAATCTAAAGGAACCCTGGTGGCATAATGGTTAAGCACTCCAGCTACTAACTGATAGATTGGTGGTTCAACCCCATCCAGTGTCTCTGTGGAAGAAAGACCTGGCGATCTGCTTTCTTAAAGATTCCAGCTTAGAAAACCCTACGGGGCCATTCTACTGTGTCACAAGGGGTCGAATAGACATGATGGTACAGGAACATCAGCAGATCTGAGGCAACAGGGAACAGACGGGATGAACTCTCCTAGATGTGTAGATGTGTGACTTGAGTCAATTCAGTTTCCGTATTTGTGAAAACCTCTTCTGGTGGTTTGAGAGAACTCGTCTCATAAAGGTCCTTTGCGTTTTTCATGGTTTCATTGAACATTCCAGTTAATTGGCCTCATGAGGTGTTTAGTGCTCCTGTTCTGCCTCCTAGTTTATTGTGTAGTGCTTGAGGTCTTTAAAGCTGACAAGTGGCCACCATGGCTCAATTGGTCTCTTTTCACCTCAAGCAACAGGGGAAGATGGAAAATCAGGACTAGGAGGAAAAAATGGAAAGTGTGGCTGATTGCTTCCATGAATACCTGCCTCCTTTGCCATGAGACCTGAAAACTAGAAGGTGCCTTGATACCATTACTGATGACTACTATTACTATATAGGAGTCATGATCAAAAGGGGCTAAAACACAGAACAGGATTTCAAATTTCTCAGACTCCAGAATTTCTGGAGCTATAGCGTCTGGATGAACTCCTGAAACTATTGCCCTGGGATCATCTTAAAACCTTAAACTAAAAATATCCCTTGAAGTTTTCTTAAAACCAAACTGTAGTTTAGCATAACTAGTAAAGAATGTTCATTTTTCTGTCCACTGTGTATTCATTCATCCTTTCATCTAGTGAAAAGACTGCAGCTCACATGAATTCAGAGTTTTTCAAACTGAAGTTTGTAACTCATTAGTGGATCTTGGAAATAACTTTAGTAACTACGACTAATGGAATGAAATAGAATGGAATTGAAAGGAGAGGAGAGAAAAAATGGGAAAGGGTATGAAAAAGAAAGGAGCAGACTGAATGGAACAATAGAGAAGAGAATCAACTAATATGAGGTCGGCAAACTTTCTGTGAAGGGTTAGGTTTTAAATATTGTAGATGGTGAGGGTCACACATGGTCTCATTTACATATAATTTGCAAATTAAAACAAAAATTTACAACCCTTGAAGACTATTAAAAACCATTCATACTTCACAAGCTGTACACAAACAAGAGTAAACCATGGACCATTTTGCCAACCTTCTTTTTTTTTTTTAAAAAAAAGGAAAATATCAGACTTCGTTGCAGGTGTTCAGTGTAATTATTGTTTCTGTTGCATGTATGCATGAGTGTGTGCCTGTGTGTGTGTGCACATGTGGATGCATGTGCACGTGTGTGTGCAGTGTATGTGAACATGTGCACATGTGAGTGTGGATGAATGTGTGTACTACACAATGACATCAAAGTGTTTTGTTCTTTACAATGCAATAGACTGTTTTTTCAAATGGTTTTAGATTTATTGAAGAATTTCCCAGAAAATGCAGAGAGTTTTCACATCTCCTCTCTCCCACCTCCCCCATGCACA